ACAAATTTCTATTCCTTCAAATATATATTTACTAGCAAGTCTGCTACGTTTTTGTCCTGTAGTAGTAGTTTCTTGTCAAATAGTTGCAGATAATATTCCAAATAAAAATAAATCCTTTTTATTATTACTTATATTTTGAAATTTTTGATAAGTTAAAATAGCATGTTCATAAAAAACTAAATTTTGAAAATATTTTTCTTTGCAACATATTGTAGTTTGTAATTTTATATATTGAGCTTCTTTATCTTTTTTTTCTATTTTTTTTTTAATTTTTTGAATTAAATCTTCATTATTATTTTTATTATCTTCAATTTTATTTTTATAATAAATTTTTTTAAATTTATTTATTTGTTCATTATTTAAAATAGGTTTATTTAAATTAGATTCATCTGATATAATAGATTTATTTAATTCTTCTTGGTTATAAGAATATTGTTCAATTAGATTATTAGATATTACTTCAACATCAGACTGATAAATTGTTTGAAATTCTTCTACTTGTTGATGCAATAATAATAATTCTGGATATGTATTATTAAAAATACTATCACATAAAATAGAAATAGAATTCATAATTAAAAAAATTTATTAAATATTTTATAAAAAATTTATTAAATAAATAAAATTACAATTTTTTATCTAAAAAAATCATTTATATAAATTTTTAATCAAACCATTACTAATTTATTAATTATAAATTATCTTTGTGTATTATCATGTAATTATACAATATCCTTAATTTGATTATTCCAACTGTTATACTAATATGTTTGCAATCATATAATACTCTTAATTCGATCATCTTATCTATCACTTTGATATGCTATAACAATATACAATCATATGATATCTTAATTCGATTGACTTATTTATTATATTGATCTATTGTAATAATATACAATTAGAAATTAGACTTATTAAAAAAATCCTTACCTAGGTATTATTAAATTACTCAGGTAATCTAGATAAATTATTATTATATATTTTGGGTAATCATATAGCAATAATTTCTACTCAGGTCTAATCTTTTATATACAATTATGAATATCTTTAATTCAATTATCCTATCTATTATGCTAATCTATCATGATAACATGTAATTATGCAATACCTTTAATTTGATTAGCTCACCTTTTATGCTAATCATTGTGACAATACATAATTATACAATACTCTTAATTTGATCATCCTGCTCTATTACACTGATCCATTGTATAACTTGTTAATTAGACTAGTTCTCAATTCTTTGCCAAAGTACAGTTTTCTGTGTTTGTTGATTTTGTGTTCAAACAATAAAAGAAAAAATATTAATTTCTATTAAGAAAAAAAAACCAATAATATAAACTAAAATAAAAAAAAACTAGCACTTATCATTAGACCAACTGTTAATTTTTTACCCAACTTCATATAGTATTATCTAGTGCTAATTTCATATCTAACAAAATTCAAATTAGGGATTGAACCTAGGTAGAAATTGTTGCTATATAATAGAGATTAAACCTGTTGAGAAAATCCCAATCTGGGTATTATTAAATTACTTGGATTATCCAGATAAATTATTATATATTTCAGATAATCATATATTAACAATTTTTATCTAGACCCAATCTCTACTATATGATTATCTAAAATATATAATAATTTATATGAATAATCTGGGTAATTAATAATACTCGAGTAGAGATTATTTTAACAAGTCCGATTTCTAATCTGGATTTACAAAAAAAAGCAAATATTAGTACATATTAAAAAGAAACCAAAATTCTAAACAGAATAAGCAAGAAGAGACTAATACTTATTATTTAATTAGTTCTCAATACTCTACCAAGATACAATCTCCAGTATCTAGTATTATCTAAGGTAATTTTGTGCTTCAATTAAGCTCAGATCTACAAAAAAAAGAGCTATTAGTCTTTGCTAAAAAATAAAAATTAACACAAAAATAAGATAAAAGACTGGTATCATAAATAGCTGAATACAAGATCCCCCTAGATAGTAGATACACCAGGTAGTATACCCAGATAATTAAATTTGAGTTTTTTTAAATATCTGAACTACCTGATATAAATGCAAAATGTATATGCTCTTCAAAGTTTTCTTCTTAGAGACATAAGCTCTCAGCTATATATTAGACTTGGGGTCTATTATAGGTTTTAAAATTGGTAGAATATAAAAGACCTGGGTCTTATATCTGGATATTTATAGTACTTATCATTGGACCAGTTTTCAATTCTTTGCTAGTATTGTATTATTTAGTGATAATTTCACATTCCAACAAAACACAAATCTACAAAAGAAAGAAACTATAAGTGCCTATTAAGAAAAAATGAAATAATAAAGAAATAATGAAAGAACTAAAACTAAGTACTTAATTTTGTCATCAAACCAGTTCTCACTTCTACCCAAATGCAAGTTCCAGTACCTAATATTGTTTGGTATTAATAGGCACTTATAGTTTCTTTCTTTTGTAGA